TCCGGGATGAATTAGGGGTCCCCGATCCATCCAGTGAAGGGCTTCTGTATCCAATCAGAGAATCCTGATCCGAAACAGGAACCCTCTGATTCGCAAAGGTGACCTACGCGCCAGCACCTTTCGTAAAACACAATGAGGCTCCATGTTTCGAAGCGGTGCATGCTAATTCCAAAGGGGCTTCTTGATCCGGGAAAATGATCTTCTAATGCAGAAAATGGCCGCCTGAACCCATTAAGGAACTCTTGGCTCGGAAATAGGGCCCGATTGATTCGAGTCTTTATGAAATATGCATAACCATAAAACTTTCAGCTTGGGTAAAAGCGCTCCCCCAAAAATGGAGGCGGCAAGTGCATATTCTTGCTAACCGCCTGCTGGCAGGGGTTAACCACCTCCCTGCCGTAACCCTCCCCCCCCCCCACACACACACACTTCTGCTGCCGGCCTTGACTCCACACACAACAAAACGGCTCTCTTGTTTTTACTCGTCTGCAAGAGGTCCTGCTGTAATGTAAAAGAGACCCAGCGTTGCATGTAAATGAGACAAACCAGCCTCGTGATAGAGCGGAGTGTGCGGAGCGTCCCAGATTTGGTCCGGATGGGGCCCCGCGCGATCAGCGTCTTCGGCACCCCTGACTCGGGGCAACATTATTTTCGACTTGTTGCCTTTTGACATTCATACATTTGAGTTTTGTTCCTTTTGACTTTTTGCTTATTCGGCTTTTATTCCTCTGGATTTTGCGTCATTTGTCTTAAATATTTTTTGACTTTTTAACATATGACTTTTCTCATTGAGCTTTTTTCAAAATTGACTTCGTCTTTGGCTCTTCGGCCTTCAACTGCCTGTCCGGTTGTTATACGAATGTTATTAGGTACGCCTTTTTTGCCCTTACTGTGGTATCCTTGCATATTTGTCCGTGGTTTCTTATTCTTTACTTGAATGCAGATGCTCCGTTACGGTACTATTCATAAGTTATTCGATTCCCAGTCCCATTTCCGTCATCTTTACCACTGCCCTAATTCCTGTATTACGTGATTCATGTTCAAAACTTGCGCTCAACACATTAGCCTGGTTGCAGTCCAACTACTGTCCGCATATGTGACGAGTAGTGCCAACGCACGCCGGAAACGCGATGATGCAATGGTGAAGCCGCTGCATCACTATCGTACAGCCTAGCCACATAAGCCAGAAGTTCGGAGTGCTCTGCTTAGTACAGACATACGCAATTGTGCTCGTTTTGTGACAGGCGACATTTCCAAGTCCGGTCCAATCACCTCTGGCGCGTGGCATTGCACTTAAGCATCACGTTACAGCGGTACCGAAATTGTGCTGCCTTACGGACTGTCTACAAGCCATCCTCACATTGCTATTTGAGCATCTTTCACTGAGACATTTGAAAAACCATTTTGGTCTCGGAAGGCCATGCAAGAAGCTTTTCGTTCGCATGCTATCTTTGTCAAATGCTTGTCTACACCGAACAAAAAGGTTGGTAGATAGGCTTCAGGTTTCTTCATGCCTTGTGCTACCAGTGCGAAAATTAGGCCCGCGTTGACATCACCGGCAAGGTTTTGGTTCACTATTGTGTTGGATACTCTGGCGTTTTACAAAGGTGTGCAGACTCCGCCGCACCTGGACGGATCCCACCGACACGCGCGAATTCACGCGACACCGTAAATATGATGGAGTTATACGCCATGTTACGCAACTCAGCACGAGGAGCACATTCGTGCGGCGTCTCACGAGTTCAGAGGTAGGCCAGTGGTGCCGGAGTTCGGCCACAGTTCTTGGCAGGAATGTTTTTGTCTGTATTCCATTCGCTACCATGCAACGTCATAGGTCGAATGCTAGCTTTGCATCCGAGTTGGAGGGGTGAGTGCATGGTTCCGCTGAAAGACGGGAGGGGGAGGGAGTGGGCCCTACCCTCTTCTCCCCTGGTTCACGTGCCATCGCACGAAGCTCTCACGACGACGCCAAGCTTCATGCATCCTGCGTCACATTAAGCAAGCTGCATTTCGTCTAGCACAAAGCCAAGGGAGATCGGTCACGACATAGATGCTAGCTAAAACAACGCTTGATGATGCTCCTGGTGTCGGTGTCCGCAGAAAGGTAACATTTGGTGGAGATGGATCCGGACACAGAGCCCTAGCACCGCCACCTGCCCTGATCCAGGTCAGGTCGTCACCATACTGTCCGGCAACATTCGCCTCTCCGCTGCCCTCTGAGCTCCGTTGCTCGGCTGTCAGACACGTGACGGCCAAGGTAACAGGGAGCGGACCATGTCGGTTAGCGCCCAAGAAACATGGTCTGGGTATGCGGCTCGGGGAACACGGTCTAGACGGACCTGCTGAGAGTTGCCAGCTGCGTAATACCGAGCGGCCGTGTCTTGGCGTCGCTTGACCTTCGTTGGTCCTTCGTTGAGTAAGGCCACGGGCCGAGAAAATAATAACTCCGTCTGATTAGAGTTGCTTTAATGGGGTGAACGGGTAAGGACATTCGCAAGATGCTATATAGAAAAGCATCGGCGGCGTTCACAAAGCCATTCTTACAAAGCAGTTGATCGAGTTTCTTTTCGAACATGTAATAGTTGCTCAGTCATTGAAGGCATTGCAAATCTGTGGCACTGTGCATATGATCTAAATGGCCTACATCAGCCAAGCTCAGCACAATTTTGTGTCATGAATGACCCTTAGCATTTATGTCTTACTGATGCGCATGCAGTGACAGACATACGCGCAGTAAGAACAGGTTTGGCCGTGGGAGGGATCATTTAGCGTCACTTGCTGCAAGAGCAGTATGAGCAGCATGAAACCGCGGTTCTCTCAGCACGCCTTTTAGTCGACGAACAATATCTCCTGGGCTGCTGACCAAGTGATAACGACAATTAGGATTTCATGAAACTAATGGCATTCCCTTTCAAAGCTGTACTGACATATGCCCCATGCGTCAGCGCAGCGTGCAAGGGAAGCTTACAGACGACACAACTTATGGCGACGTAATTGCCCGCTCTCAAAGCGAGTTGTTGACATTGCTGTTGCCCAAATACCGATATGTTTCGCCCTGAACTTTGCATCACTGTATAGCTCCTTACATTCTCTGCCACACAATTTTAAAGTGTGTATCGTAAAATGCAACGTCATTTCTAAATCCACGAATGCATTTGCCTTTGACAGGAACGGCCTTCGGTCCGTGGCAGCGCCACGCTAAAAATCAGGTAACGTCAGAGGACAGGGCGGACCGTGCTGAGCATTGCGGCACGTTAAGCTTTCGCCACCGAATTCTGCTGTTGACCCGGAATTTCACGATCGGATGGCGAGGACCAGGGTTCACGCAACGAGCACTGCTTAGCCTGGTGTCTAATCCCAGAAATCCATCCCTTCCAAAGGCTTGGACTAAACAGAAAAAATGAGCCTGAGCCTGAACGTGATTTGACGAAGATTTGGTATGTGCTTTTTTGTTTTGCAGCCGCTTAAATGAACCTCAGCATTTCCCCCGCTTTCTCTACTCTGAATGAGCCTTCTCCCTTCACCTCCAAAAGAGAACTCAAGGCAGCAAACTCTTCAAATTATCGAGGACATCACTACAAATACCAGCGGGCTAAAGATCAAAGAACTGCAGTTAACAAGCCCAGGCAGCTTTATACCGTGAACTCTTGACTGTGGTCTCAAATTCTAATAAATACAATAAAAAAGCGGCAAAGTTCATTGCATTTCGGAAAATGTGTCTTGTTTAGGTGAGTTTTGAGATTTAGTTTGCTTTAGATGAATTTGAAAAACTGACCTAAAGAGGGTATGTTTGCTGAAATATAGTGAGCTTTGCAGCTTATTTATTGTTGCTTTGAGCCTGAGACTGCGGTCAAGAGTGCACGGTAAAATTATGATGAAGATTAACAGTCTAAGAGGAAGTCTGCTTTTCATAAATGGAAGCCCAGACAGTTCCTAACCACACACATAGCACAGAACAGGACCCCTCGAGCTTGAATCCATACGCTAGACGTGATACCAATTACGGTGTCGAGCACGCGCTGCGTTAACTGAGTTACGCTGACAACCAAGTTCTGGCTCGAACTCAGCCGCTGCAAAGGTAAAGGGATCTGGCCTGCCAAACAGTCGCTCCCAACGTGCTTCTCCGGAACGAGACAAAACTACAGGTTTTACGAAGGACCTTTTTAGACGCAACAAGTGCCGAACATCGGGAACATTGCCACTCACAGTGACCTGCGCAGCTGACATCGCCGGAATGCTATAGCTAAAACCCATAACTGCATTCAACGGCACCACCACCAGTGACCCGTTTAAAGCTCAAAACATGAGCATATCCCATGCACCTTGAAAAAAGCTTTGGAGACCTAGAAAAGATACGGACACCGGGATCTATAAGTATTGGGAACCGGACCGCACCCATCTTCAACCCGAACACCATCCCACCTCTTCCTTCCCCCCCCCCTCTTCTCACCCAACTCTTCTTAACCCCCTCTTCTCACCCAACTATTCTCACCCGCTTCTTCTCAACCCAATCTTCTCACCCACCTCTTCTCGCCCAACTTTTTAGCCTCCTCTTCTCGTTCCTCTTTTTACTCCCTTCTCTTACTCCCTCTTCTCATCCCCCTCTTCTCACCCACCTCTTCCCACCCAACTCTTTTCACCCCCCTCTTCTCATCCCCCTCTTTCACCCCTCTGTTCTTATCCACCTCTTATCTCCCACCTCTTCTGAACCTCCTCTTCTCACACCACTTTCTCACTCACCTTTTCTCACCCAACTCCGCATCACCCCAACTCACCAACCCCATCGCGAGCGCGCGTCCTAGATCCCCCGGCGCTCTCACCGAGCCGCCGCGCCGGTGCCGGTTATTGCAAGGGGGAGGGGGGAGGGGGAGGGACATCATCCGTGCGCCGACGGAGGCGGGCTCCGTTCGGCGGCTCGGTGAGAAAGCCCGCCGGGCGGCCGGACCGTGTATAAAGGCTGCCGGCTACCCGGTCGGGTCACAGTTGGTCGGGATTGGAACGGACAGGTGCCTGCGAGCAGCGCACCGAAACGGAGAGCTCATCATGAGGGTGAGTGTAGGGTGCCGAGGCGTGCCGGCGGACGAGGTCGTGCTGGAAGGCGCGCATGCTGACGACGCATTGTAAGCCTCTTAAATACCGTTTAGCCACGCGCCATGTGGGATGTTCCCCCCGATTGCTTTTGATGCGGAAGGGTTTGGGCTGCTTGTGCCGCGAAGCGTCTTGTGTCTTGTTGCGCGGTGGATGGTGGTCGCGTGTGCCTTCCACGTCGTAACATCGCACTTTTGATTGATGAATTTTTAGTGATTAGAAGAATTAGTGAAATTTCCTAAAAGTATATAGATCGTGAACTTTTATGGTGACCTTCTATCGGCCCAAAATAACACATTTGAAAAGGATTTCAAACCAAGCTGGAATTCTAAGGTGTTCAAATGACATATCTGCCAAAAATTGTCATTTTCAGCATTCTGTGGGATCGTTCTTTTGAGTTATAGGTCATTTCTCGGCAGCTGTCACGCGGCGTGTTAAGGTTTGGCTTTAGATTGGGCCATGGTTGAGGCCAGCACACAGCAGCCGCAGCCGTACAACGCCAACACATTAAGCCATAATGTTGCACAACCGTGAACCGAAACGAAATGCAGTTTCTGCCGCGCAGAAAAAAAAGAATGGGATAGTTTGTTGCCAGGTCCGATCCCTGACGTAGTATGCATGCCATGTGACAGTGATGATACGCAGCGGTGGTAGTGATAACAATGATCCTAAACAATAATGTTAATCATTATCACCCTCCCTAACGATGATAATGATAGTTATAAGGCCTTATGGACCTTGTAACACGACAAAGAGCGGTCCAAGGCTTACTAAATCTCATAAAAGTATTTAAGACTTTGGTTTCATCCTAGGCACGCATCAAGCAATGCTATATACCATTATTTCAATACTCTTAGAAAGCGGGCTTGCCAAATACGACTGATGCTGTCCGCTTTTTCGAGAGAAGACCGAATCCAAAGGGAATTGAGAAAGCAGGTGGGGTCTTCTTTCATAGAGCCGTGTAAACGCCTGAATGAACATGAGACATGTCTGCTTTATTTTGATGATGATGCCATCAATTATCATCGGAATGCCGAAACGTGCTTTTACAAACTATTTTGCTTCACTTCAGATATTACACTGGATCCATACCTGTTTTCAAGGTCCATTGAAAGGTTGATGCTGGCTGCATAACTCAGTAAGCTCATTTCAAGTGATAATCCAACGCGCGCCTGAAACTGAGACACGATCAAAATCATCTCGCGAAACAGACTGGCCTGACACCAAAGAATGCCGACCGTATGCCATTTGCGGCATTCAGGAAACTCCCACGCGACCCGTTATAGTGATCAAACGGCTGTCCTACGCGTTTTTCTGCATCTTTGCTATGCTTCGTTTGCCATAGATTCAATAAAGCCACCTTCACCAGTCGTCCTAACGACATCCAGCTCCACTTCACCAGTCGCCCTAATGACGTCCAGCTCCACTTCTCTCGCGAAAACGGCATGTGGGCACCCTGAGGCAGTGATCAACATGATGTAGCAGCTCCAGTCAGTACGAACCCCATCCAGTCCAGACAAATTCACGGCTCAAAGCGTGCTGAAGTTACTGAACTGGCCCTGCACTGTGCGTCAACCACTGATCTGCGTGGTTGATACAGCGCTGCAGGCAGAGGTGGCAAGGTATGCTATGGCGCTTAAGGCGATGGACCAAGACACCTATCGCTGGAGGGACGTGCGCTTGTGGCACTCTTGTCTAACTGAAACGTTTACGACGTTTGCAATCCAAACCTCGCCTCGAAGTCCACCACGGGGCTGAGCGTGTAGCATAGCCTGTGGCGATTTTTCATCTCCTTTGTTTGCGCGTGGTCCTTTTCAGAGGGTGGCACAACGCAGTTCGTTGTGCACCGCTATCACGGAACGCCAGCGGCTGTGGTTCCCAGCTCATCACCAAGCGACGGCAGTTTCCTGCATGGGCCGCACGCCCACGTGCAATGCCATTTGAAGCCTGCGTCATTCCCAGCTGGCCTGACATATGCGCGTGGTCGATCTATGGCAGCGTCCGAGGCAGCGACAGCAGTGTTCGATCCCCAGCGCCGCGTCTGAGCCGTGCGTGACGGTGACCCGACGCTGCTATTCCAGGCGTGGGCGTTTGCGGCGTTGGTGGCGCTGGCCGCTGCCGACCAGGGCGGCTTCCAGCCGGTGACGGGGGCCGGAGCCGACGCCAAGGTGATCGGTCACTCCAGCAGCGCCTCCACCAGCCAGGCGCTGACGGTAGAGGCGCGCAACTCCGCCGTCCCGCTCGAGGCCCAGGCCGACTCCAGCGGCAGCCACGTCAGCTACGAGCAGCCGATCGCCCGCGACGGCGGCGGCATCGGCGGAGGCCACGTCGCCGGACATGACGGAGGATTCCCGAACGAGCACAGCAGCTACACGAGCTATGATGGCGGCAACTCGGGAGTCGGTGGCCCCTCCGGAGGTGGTGGGGGAGTCGGTGGCCCCTCCGGAGGTGGTGGGGTCGGTGGGCTACTCTGGAGGTGGTGGAGTCGGTGGCTACCCCGGAGGTGGTGGAGTCGGTGGCTACTCCGGAGGTGGTGGAGTCGGTGGCCCCTCCGGAGGTGGTGGAGTCGGTGGCTACTCTGGAGGTGGTGGAGTCGGTGGTTACTCCGGAGGTGGTGGAATCGGTGGCTACTCGGAGGGGAGTCGGTGGCTACTCGGAGGTGGTGGAGTCGGTGGCTACTCCGGAGGTGGTGGAGTCGGTGGCTACTCCCGGAGGTGGTGGAGTCGGTGGCTACTCCGGAGGTGGTGGAGTTCGGTGGCTACTCCGGAGGCGGTGGCTACTCCGGAGGCGGCGGCTACCCCGAGGCGGCGGTTATCCCGGAGGCGGTGGCTACTCCGGAGGCGGTGGCTACACTGGAGGAGGCGGGCGGCTTCTTCGGAGGCGGCGGCTATGGTGGAGGTGGTGGCCTACGCTATCGGCGACGGTTACGGCGGCGGCTATGGATACGGGGAGCAGGGCGGCTACGGACGGCGGTTACGAGGACTATGATGACGATGGCTACGGGAAGGTTGGGGATGACGATCCCTGGTACGAGAGCTACAGTCAACCGGATCAAATTCCCAATCTTCCTCCCGAAGATCAACTTCGTCAAAGTGGGCAGCAGCGTGCTTGATGACATCCCTCCGCCCAAAAACTACGGAGGTGGCAAGGGCAAAGGAGGCGGAAAGGGCAGGGAGGCGGCATCGGCTCCTTCTTCAAGGGTCTCTTTGGCGGAAAGGGCAAGGGGCGGCGACAAGGGCAAGGGCAAGGGCAAGGGCAAGGGCGGTGGCCAAGACTCGGTCATCATAAATCATCACCACTACTACGACGAGGGATATGGCAAAGGAGGAGGCTACGGCGGTGCGCCAGTCGCCACCTACGGCGCTCCCCCAGCCGGCTCCTACGGCGGCCCTCCTGCGACGTCCTACGGTGCCCCTTCCTACCACTGACCTCCGCGAGACCCATCTTGTTTGTAACCGCAGCGAGTTTGACGTTATGCACTTGAGAGATCGCTCGCCTCCAGAGAGGCAAGCGTCAGTAATTTATTGTTTCGCACATAGAACGCTCAAATACTGCCCTTGTGCATGTGTGATTGAACTGTTGTGTGATGATAATGTGCAAATCGATTTGGGGCTTGTTTTGTTGGAGTTATGTGATGCGATGATTACGTTAGATGTCAAACAGGTTTTTGACTCGGTCGTGTCGAATAGCTCTTGAGCCTGCATAACTTCGTCACGCATATAATCGCGGGTGTATGCATATCTTGTGCCAATCTAGTCTGTTCTCTGAAACGCTAAATAAGCCTAATGCACATGTAGCAACGCTTCCTTCCTGATATTCCAGCGTTTTCCAACAGGGTAACCGATGTCCCCTACTTTCCATTGACCGTTACAAATATTTTTAGAACACAGGAGAACAGTTGCATGTCTTCGGAGGCTTTGTTCAGAATCGACGTTGAAATTCGAAAAACTCAGGTCAAATGCACATTAAAGGCTTTGCTCATCGCCGAAGCATTTCCATCAACGCTTGACTGATCGCGGTGTGTCTCGCTTCTCCAATAGACACGGTACGTTATTTCAGTTGGAATATTCCCTACCCCTGTTGTTGCGGGCCCTTTCTGCCAGTTTCTTCTCTTTATCACCCTGCCTTGACAAATTACTCCCTAACTTTGCAGACATGATCATCTCCATGTTTATCGGTTGTTGCTCTTACAGTTCTAACAGTTGCATTCCTGTTGGATTCCTGGTCATCTTCTCATCGACCTCGATATTCTCCTATCTCTTTCTCTCCTCCCTCTCTCTTCTCTCTCTCTCCCTCTCTCTCTCTCTCACTCTCTCTCCCTCTCTCTCTCTCCCTCTCTCCTCTCCTCCTCTCTCTCTCTCTCTCTCCCTATTATCATTCCTCTCTCCTCTGCCGCTTGCCTCTCTTTATATGCTTCTTCTCTCGCTCATTCTCTATCACCATACCTGAGTATTGTTTTTATCTCACATAAATTATTTGCAGTTAGTATTCAGCTGCAGCAGGTTTTCTTTCAACTTCTCTCCTTCAACTTCTCTCTTGCAACTTCTCTCCTGCAACTTCTCTCCTGCAACTTCTCTCCTGCAACTTCTCTCCTGCATCTCTTACATTCTCTCTCCGTTCGACGTCTGTAAAACATTCTTTGGCATGGTCTGTTTCACACAACTAAAGCAACGACGCTATTGATAGTTATTACATTCCTTCGAATGTGAATTCAGCTTCTATATTCTGTGTCAGACTCACCTTACACTATCTATGGCCAAAACAAGCTGCATTTGGCTTAGGACTCCTTTTTTCTCACCTACGTTACATTTATTTTTATTTTCACTTGCATCACATATTTGGCATGACGTTCAACGATTAGTTGTCATCGTAATCGTAGCGCTTCATATGCCAAATATGCCATGATTTATTGGTAGTTTTGCTTTTCCTTCCTTCCTTTTCCTTTTACTTTGTAGTTTTGTTAGAACACCAGAATTACACACAAGCTACTACATGAAACCCAAGACGCATCTATCGCTTGAACGCCCACTCCTGTTATCTATTTCGCTTCACTGCTTCTCCGAGAACCTTCCCCTGAACGCTATGAGCCGAGAACGCTCGGACACGTGGCTGCAGGACTCGCGGCTCTCTCGACATGGTGCGTTTCGATCCATATGCGTTTTCAACAGCCGTGGAATGATCTGGTGTCATTCACAACTGCATCGCAACAGCAACGTGTATGTGAAATGATTTTCAACGCGATGACCTCATCTGCTAGCGATGTGTCGTTACGGGCGAGTCCGCGCGTCCTCCGCTGTTTTTGTAAATACACGTGAGAAGGATGACGTACTTCAATTGGTGTTTTACGCGTGGTGATGGACGCGGGTACAACAGACGATGGGCTTGGACTTTGGATAAAGCTTTCACACTTTGAGTGAAGAATTTCCGATCACGTGTCCGGTATGCAGCAACTGTGCCGAAACCAGCAATCATCGAGAGACCCGGACCTTTGCAACACAAGTGACAGCTACGAACGATTGCCGGAGCTTGATTTCGTCACGGACGCTACACTGTCGTCACATATTCTGATACCCGCGAACGCAACCAAAGCAGGAACTGGCCAGACAGAAACTTGAAACTCTGCAATGAGATTACCGAACCACAGCTAGAGAGCTGAAAGCCTCCTGAGGCGTCGTGTTTCCTCTGGAGGACATGAAGAGCCACGTGCCGTGTTGACTGAGAACGGCGCTAGCACGAGCGGTTTGGGTTGAAGCCTTCTGGCTCCGTGAGCCTTCATTCATTCCATCCTCACAAAAGTCAGAGCCCAAACTGCAGAACGGGGTGAAACCACCGTTTTGCCAACCGGTCGGGAAATCGCGGCCTCCTTGACGTGCATTTACAAACTGGAAAAGAGAGTCGCCCCGGTGGCTTTCCTGGCGCGAGCCACTACCCCGCGAAAATCCCGTCTGGCTCGTGGGGCCGGAAACGATCGAAGGGGGTCAGGCTGGAGTCGCGGAGGCCCCCGCGAAACCTGTCCCGGAGAACCGGACGCCCGCTCAGGCTACGCGCGCTCCGCCGCCTCCAGACTGGCGCGTTTTCACAACAGGTGCCGGGGAGGGGGTGCCGCGCTGCAGAGAGGATGTCCGGCCGGCGGGTGGTCAGTCACCGGCTAATGAATTCAGGGCGGCCACTTCTGGCCGGTTCGGCGGCTGGTCGAGGCGCCGCGCCTCGGCGGAGAGAGCTGGGAGGCGGGGGAGCGGAGGGGCGGCCGGACCGGACGCCGACGGAGCGCCGCTGACCAGGCCGGGGAGGGCCGAGTGACGAGCTTTCGTCGCCGGGTGACGCCGGTCTGACCGGCTCTGCTCAGAGCTCAGGTTCCCTGTACACATATCTATGAGAGGCGTTTTGATCCCGGCAATAATGACACCAATGATCATGTCGTGTCATGCATTTACTTCGCATCGTTCCATACGTATGGCTTAATGCTTGATTCGGGTCAATGGGTTACAAGTTGCACGATAAACACGACGATACGACGGAAATGATGACACGTCAAGAGCTTGAGAATGACCTTCAAATTCAAAACAAAACTCTCGTCTTCACATTGGTCAAATCGAGATATGAGGGCAGCGCGGCTCCGTGAGATAATAACGGTTGGCGGCACGTGGTTCCAGGACGAGACCGCATGATGTGAACATGCCCTACGCAGCACAGACAGCTGGAAAGGGGGCAGCTCCAAAGCGGCGGCCACCGTTGACCTCGTGATACGTTCACTCACAGTGGCCCGAGGGGTGAACAGCGACCGGACGGCACGCTGACCTCGTGATACGCTCACTCACAGTGGTCCGAGGGGTGAACAGCGACCGGACGGCACGCTGACCTCGTGATACGTTCGCTCACAGTGGTCCGAGGGGTGAGCAGCGACCGGACGGCACGCTGACCTCGTGATACGCTCACTCACAGTGGTCCGAGGGGTGAACAGCGACCGGACCGCCCGCGGGGCCATTTAAGGCCACGAAAACGCCAATGTGGTCGCGGCGCGTAATAAGGTTATTGGTGTCACATCAGCCCAGTGACCTTTTTACCGGTTAAATATGAGCTCGACGGCGCGCCCCCGAGGCGATCCGGGCCGCGACATTTACGATTTTTTTGCACCCAGCCGGCGCAAAAAATCGCGGGCGGCGATGCATTCCCAGAGCAGCACAGGCGGTTCGTGTTCAACAAATGGGTTTGGGATTACCGATAAAGTTAGCTTACCGTTGAATGCCGGCAGAGTGCGTGACAATAGAGGATAGCAGCAAGTGGAGATATTTACGCTTTACCCTGGCCTTCACTACAGCCCTCACATCATTCATGCAGTGTTCCGAAACAGCAGCCCGTTTTTCAATGCTGTTCGATGTTTAGTGGGCGGTGGGATTTCCTGCTGGGGAACCTCCTGGGCAAGGTCATCTTATGCGTCTCCTAAGCTTTTGCAGAAAGAAGACAAGGAAACCCACACAACAACTTTATCACTACTTTCTGTTTCAACTACTCAGAAATGTACTATGCTTCCCTAATTTGGATAAAAGATATCTTACGCTTCCCGGTCATTTCGGGTTTTGGGAAGGCTAAGATTATTTTTATAGCTGAAGCTGAAAGGCTTTTTGTTGTATTTTTTATACCAATGAAAAGAAGAAGAAAAATCTTAGACGTAAGCTGACCACTTAAATCTACAAAGGTTAAGTCTTTGCTTGTTAGGCAGCCATCTTTGTAAATGAACACGTTTAGGTTGGACAAGCAGCAGTTACCCTTAAAAGTCTTCGGGTGGCAATGAAGTACTGTGATGATAAGCTTTTGCTCAGGTTGTAAGATAAAATGATTTGTATTGGCAGATATTGGGATAGAATTAACTGCATGGTGCTCCATGGACTCTGTAAGTAGACACCTTTAGTGTAAAAGCCTTAGTTAACTTCACGACTTGATGCAGAAAATGTCTTGTGAACACGAATTTGGATTCATCAGCTCAACAATTGGGTGCATAACTGTCCTGTTGCTCCCTCCCTGTTGCGTAGTCCCTTACTACATCCACAGCAAAAAGGCTCGTGCAGGAGTGCAAGGGCCATGCTGACCCACGAAGGAGGCTCAGCCTGAAAGTACATGAAACACACGGGCCTCGTGGCTCCGCACAGGCTGCAGAAAGCTCCGGATTTGACCCGAAAGTGCGCCGCACAATGCACGAGGTTTATTCGCTTCGGGGTTCAGAGAAGCCTCTTTCATTTGAATTTGGAATTATTAGATTCGTCTCCTCCCCTTTTTACATACAAGCGGGGAGGTTACAAGGGGAAGTAGAGGACCACAAGATGAAGATTAACATTCACGCAGTGTATGTCCCTTTGACTTTCACCCCTGTGACATTTTACATTTTGGCTTCGATGTTTTGACATTTTGCATTGGTCTTTTATTTTCTATT